GTATTTCTAAAACTTCTTCCAATTCTTTCTTTCGCCTTGCTAGCATATTCTTTGTTAATATCTTTGTTTTATCTTTATTTTTAAACCTGCTACTTTTCCATATTCTTCTATCTTTTCAATTAATTTAGATGCTGTTGAGAAATAGGAAAGATTATTGATCCCCCTTATTGCCACAGAGTAGGCTGTTGTCCCACCACACCTTACAGAGGCAGCGGTTCACCCCTCCTCAAGAAACCATTGCTAGACCCAACCATGCTGGACAACTTTCGTCCAGTCTCCAACCTGCCCTTTTTTAGGGGAGGTTTATTTATTTATTATTTTTCTAATTTACATAGCCACCCATCTCCTATATATGACTCATGTATTTGAGGCGGGTGGCTATATAAATTGAAATAATAAATAAATAAAATTTTCTGGGCTGTCTGCAAGGGTTGGATAGAGGTACCATTTTAGAGTACTCCCACTACTTGCTGAGTGATCAGTTCCAGACAGCAGTCGCATGGGAGGATAGAGCTAACCTTTGGCCACTCTGGCAGGTGTGTGTGTGTGTGCACGTGCACACACACCTCTCTCTCCCTCCAGCTGTTGCATGAGGTCATTTGCCAGTTTCAGGTGAGCATACTGAAGATGCTCAGGTACATGCGTGGCCACCCCAGGCCAAGACAGCGACGCAGTGGAAGCCCAGAGGATCTCTATGGGGAGAAACAGGTTAAATCTCAGCCAGCTTGAGCAGCTGTCCAGAAACCATCTGGCACTCTAAGTGCAGAATGAATTACCACCCCCATAAAGGAGCAGGCTTGTGGCTTGGGGCTCCTCTTTGACTCAGGCCTTCTGCTGGAGGCTGTTTTGAGAGGAGCCTCTGCCCAGCCACGACTGGTCACCAGTTGTGACCTTTCTTAGAGAAGGAGGTCCTGGCTATAGTGACGTACACATCATTAAATGTCTATGTGTTTTGTGTGGGCTAAATTATTAAGTTGTTCCTATGTGTTCTGGTTTTAATTATGCACAGCCATTTTTGTTTGTGTGTGTGCGTGTCCCTTCGAGTCAGTTTTGATTCCTGAAGACCACCTGGACGAGCCTCTGCAGGTTCCTTGGCAAGGTTTTTCAGAAGGGCTTGCCCTTGCCTTCTTCCTGGGGCTGAGAGAGAGTGACTGGCCCAAGGCCACCCAGCTGGCTTCGTGCCCAAGGCGGGGCTCACACTCATGGTCTCCAGGTTTCTAGCCTGGTGCCTTTACCATGACACCAAACTGGTTCTCTGCACAGCCATTAGCCCTTGGGAAATTATGGGGATGCTCTCTGTTCAACCATGCCCAATTCCTGGCGATAGGAATAGAATTTCCTTGGGAAATACAGTGGTATAAAAATATCATATATAAATAATTAAATACATTGTAATATGAATTCCCCTCTGCCATGCTTAGCCTTTGAAAGAAGACCTTACTGTACAGTAAAGAGCCCACCTGCTGGGAAGTTAGCTTGCCGTTCTGGTCCGGCTGTTGGCCCCCCTTCCTCCCTGTGGGCTGCCCAGAAGCAGTCTGGATGTTCTCCAAAAGTCCACCGACCACAAGCTTTCTCCACAAATGTCTCCTCCAGTCTTCTTCCAAAGCCATCATATCTGCCCACAGCCCTCAGTGTCCCTCAGGAGTACAGTGACCACGCGTCCTTTATTTCAGAAAGCTCTCCTTTAGATTTATTTAACTGAATTATTAATTTTCTTGGTTTTGCTCTTGAATTTTCCTTTGTAAGGCAAAGTTATAAACAATTTGTTAATCCTTATGAACCTCTTTCAGATTGGCCCCTTTTTCAGGTTTGTCCTTTATTTTTGCCAGGAAAATAGGGTCACTGTACTCAGTGGCCAGGACTCCCTCATGGCTGCAGAGGCCGGCCGCTGACCCTCTTAAGGAGGGCAGCGGCCTCAGGGCTGGTGCAAGTGATGGGCTGGGCTGGCTGCCACGATCCTGCCTGGAGCCAACCCACGTCAGCTGGGGAGGTGCCTGAGGAGACGCTTGCTGTATGAGACCTCCACCCGTCACTTTTGCTCCGCCTTGACAAAGATGCACTTGTTCAATAAATTTGCGCACCACCCAATTCCCAGTGATTCTGGGTGGTTCACAAGTAAAAACACAGAAAGATAGTACCATCACAAGAACAAGGGACAAAAGGTGGCAAAAAGCGGGCAACCAGAAGAAGCAGAGCCACACTGCCCACCCACAGCCAAGATAGTTCAGCCGGCAGGCCGGGGCCCAGCAAGGGCTCCCTCCGTCTCCTCCCCACCGGCAACCGGTCAGGTGCGGTTTCCTTGGTGGGGGGGCGGAGGAGGGGGTAAAGAGCCTTGGGGGCGTTCGGCCCCAGCATAGGGAGGGGCAGACGGGGCGCAGCAGAGCGAGCAATGACGATAAGCCGTCTCTGGGCTCGGCCTCTGCAGCAAGGGAAAGGAGGGGGTGGTGGTGCTGCTGCCAGGCGGGCCGGGCCATGCCCAGAGGGCTCGGAAGCAGCCTGCAGGGGAGGCGGAGTGGCGTCCAAAAGCGTAAGGGCCGTCAAAAGCACGGTCGCCCGCAGATCGTTCTGGCAGAAGTCGGTCAGCCGCACAAGACCAGCCCCAGCGCTCTCTCCGCGAAGCCTTAGGAGGCAGCCTCAGGCAGGGGCCTCAGCAGGGCCCCTGCATCCTGCAGCCCAGCCGAAGTGGAACGGGGGGGGGGCAGGGCTGGCTGACCAGGAGCAGGCATGGTGTGGCGTGGCGTGGCGTGGCGTGGACCAGGGCACACCTGCAAGGAGAGTGGGCGGATGCAGCAGCAGCAGCTCCTCTGACCCTTTCCTTCCTCCCTGCCAGCAAGCAGGCAAAGCAGATGGCAGGGGAGGAGGGGAAGGCGGCCTGTCAGTGGGGCGCCCCTCCCTCCATCCCTCCCCTCTGTGCTGCAGAAAGAGGAAGCGGGGCTGGAAAGGTCAACAAAGATCTTCATTAGAAGCGAATCAGGAGAGAAGAGACAAGACGCACTCAGCTGAAACCGTCCTTGGAACAGGATCATTTGGGGAAGCCTCCAGAAATCACGCGGGGAAGCACTCTTAGCCTGTTCGTTCTGCAAATAGCCTCCTGTGTGCGCATTGCCCGGGCACGGAGGACCATCTGCCACGGCAGCCAAAGGGGGCCCCCAGAGAGGGCCCATCACCTATGCTTGACAGCAGAGGGAGGAATCAGAAGATGCCATGCGTGTGGTCTCCCTTTGCTTCTTCTCCAGGCCAGGACTGCATTGCCACAGCCACTTGGCCACCTCAGGGCTGCCCTGTTATGGCCCTTGAGTCTGAGGGAGTCCCCCCCTTGAAGCCCCCTTCTTCCACCGACTTCGCCCGAGGAGGTCCCTTGACTTCTGCTGCACCCTGGCCGAGGACCAGCCTTCCCACTCTTCAGCAGCTGTGGGTGGGTG